GGGACCCTCTATTGTGATCTCTGTTAGAGCAGTCGGTGGTGGTAGCCAGGCAGCATCTAGTTGTGCTGGACTCAGTCTGGTTGAGGCTGTAGTACTTGTCATCCATTAGTCATTTGGACTAATCTTTCCTTTGTGTCATTGATTTTCTTCATTCTCCCTTGCTCCAGACAGGGTGAGACCAGTGGAGTATCTTAGATGGCTGCTCAGAAGCTAAAAAATAAAGTATGTTTTTAAAAAATATATTGAGACGAAGAAATCTCACTTCTAGAAGCTTAACCAAGAGAAATGAAACTATACGTCCATACAAAAGCTTATGAACATGACCCCCTTTGTCATGAGACCAGAAGAACTGGATGGTGCCCGGTACCATTACTGAACATTTTGATCAAAGATCCTATAGAATAGTGCTAATCAAAAGATGGAAATGCAGAACAGAACTTCAAATTCTCATGGACTCCAGGCTTTCTGGAGCCATGGAGCCTGGATGAATCCCTGAAACTATTGCCCTGAGATACTCTTTAAACCTTAAACCACAAATATCCCCTGAAGTCTTCTTAAAACCAAACAATAGTTTAGCTTAACTAGTAAAGAATGTCTGCCTTGAGCACTGTGCTCTTTTAAGAATTGTCTATATGGGATCAAATTGAAAACAGCAACTCTAAAGATTAGACAGGAACCTTAGGGGACAGTGAGTTTATGTTAACGGGGGAGGAACAACTCAGGAAAGGAGGGTGAGAATGGCTGCACAACTCGAAGAATGCCATCAATGTCGCTGAATTGTACATGTAGAAACAGTTGAATTGGTGTATGTTCTGCTGTGTATATTGTTAACAACAAGAATAAATTTAAAAAAAAAAAACTTATGTACATGAATGATTACAGCAGCTTTACTCATAATAGCTAACAGCTGGAAACAACCCAGATGTCCATCAACAGCTGAATGGATAAGGAAATAATGGTAAACTCAGACCACAGAGTATTACTCAACAATAAAAACTCCCAAAAATCAGCCAATGAAAACCCTATGGATCACAGAATATTGTCTGAGACTTTGACTCACTTACTTTGGATGCGTCATCAGAAGGGACCAATCCCTGGAGAAGGACATCATGTTTGGTAAAGTGCAGGCCAGCAAAGGCAAGGGGAGCCTCTGTGAGATCGACTGATACAATAGCTGCAACAATGGGCTCAAACATACTAATCATGAGGAAGGTACAGGAATGAGCAACATTTTATTCTGTTATACATAAAGTCGTCATTAAGTCGAAGCCAACTTAGTTACTGAGTACCTTTTATGTGCCAAGTACTGTGTCAAGTATTGAACTGAGCACTGACTAAATATTATCTCATTTAATTCATACAATCACCCCCCAAAATAGGTTTTATTATCCCCACCTTCAGATGTTTGCTCTTGGGGATGTAGCAAGGATGACTGGGTTTGGTAAGAGGCTTCTTCCCTTTCTGAGATTGTCAGAACTTGGAGTTCTTGAGTTTTAGAGGGAGTGGAGCCTGAGAAGGAGGAAGGTGCCCCAGAAGCTGTGGTAAAGAACCTCAGACATGGATCCAGACAAACGTTTCAAATCCATACTCCACCTCTTCCTAGATGTGTACCTTGGGCAATGATTTTCCTTCTCTCAACTTCTGACTCCTCTTACCCACCAAAATGACAAAGAATTAGGATCCTTAACATGTAAACAGCACTTATGAATCAATAAGAAAAAAAGACTCGAGACTTTCGGGCAACATGGCGCTATAGTCAGAAGCACCACGCCGTCCCTCCACAGCAAAGATCCGAAAAACTAAGTCAAACAGAATCACATGTCAATCCTGAAACCCTAAGCATCAAATGAAGAGATAAAGAACTCAGCCAAGCATCGAATGGAATAAGAAACTGACCGAGAACAGAAAGTGAGGAGAGATACATGCAGAGGTCCCCTATCAGCCACTGCAGCACGGATCCACCATTGTGGACTCCTATCGGAGATCAGTGAACAGGAGGTACGAGAAAGCAGCTTCACAGAACTTCC